GCATAAGGACGATGGATGTGTGATAGGGAAAATAGGAGAAAACCGAACCACAGCACCCATCAACCACCCACTATGTACGTGCGTGTATATGTGTGAGTGTGCATATTACATAGTTACAAGACAGATTAAGTGGACAATCTCTTCTCTATGCCTTGGTTTCGTTTAATGGCAGAAATATTCCTTCTTCATCAAGTGAGACATCGTTAGTCTCATCAAAGGTGACAATCATTCAATAACTCTAAATGAACAAGATGGCAATCAGTTAATAACTCTCAGTGTTAAACTGCTATTATGTTATTATGTTATATTCTTGCTGCCACACCTGCATGTACTTTTCATTTGATTGTTGTTTCTTCTTTTTTATGGGGGGGGGGGGGTTGGTTCAACACCTTTTATATCTATTTTTAAATCACATCTGTGTGGATTTTACTTTAAAACGTAGTTTAAAGGAACAACAAAATGTAAATTTTCCGTTTCAAAGGACTCTCAAGCTTTGGAAACAAACGAACTTTGGCGACCATTTCCTCGCTAATTTTACCACTGAAACCATCGACCTTCAATTGAACAAATATTGGCGAGCACCTGCTCTTACCGCGGCGTGACACATATTAATTATGTATTGCTATGTTATTGTCTGTCTTTTGTAGTTTAAGAGCCATAGAACAGAACCGAATATCTTTTAAAAAACATAGCAAAATTATTAAGTATGGGCATTAAATTGGAGGTATCATCTCGGACTCAGAGGTTTACGCGTAATGATCCTCCGCCCTTCATGGTCGCAAGCCGCCGTAGAACATTCTGCTATACCTAGGCCAGTCCATGTTTTAATGTTTTTCATCCATCTTGCTACTCTTTGTCTCCCCTGGCTTTCTTGGTTATTATATTTTTCTTCTAAAGTTTCCTCAAAACAGAACGTCTTCAAGGGTTGTCAAAAGACCCGGATGGACGCACTTAATGAATTAATGGAGATCCTCAACCATCTGAGCATTCTGAATTATCTAAACTGTGTCGGTGTGAAGGTAGAGAACCAAATACAGTAAAAGCTGCAACAAAAACGACCACATAACAAATTACATTCATGTTTTATCTATATTATTATTATTATTATTATTACCAATATGACATTTTCCAAGACGTCTACCTACCTAAGACAACCACCAACCTTCTCCTCGACAATAGGTGGTCGTTTTGGACAATCTCAACAAAAACCAACACCGTTCAGCTAACCTCGCCCCTTCGTTTAGCTTAGTTACAGTAAAAGTTTCAAGGCACTTACAACACAATAAGGTCATATTATGTGATAAAGATATGATGTGTTACAAGAGAGTGACAAAAGTTAAAAGTGGAGAGATAGGGACGATACATTTGTTTGATAGGAAAAACAGACCAAACCACACCACAGCATACACCAAACATCCATTTGTGCAGTTTGATAAGAACCTATAATTATATCGATACAAAATAATCGGGCGTCTCCCCAGGTAAACCTATTAGAGTAAGACCTGGGTGTGGGCTGCACGGAGATGCCTGTTCGAGGCGGGAAAGATCTGCTTACCATGCACGCACGGGGAATTACAGGAGAGAAGGAGAGAAGGAAGGAACAGGACGGACAACTGAAAGGGGAATTGGAACGTTGCTGTAACAGGTCAGTTGTGACAATGTCTTCAGCAGGACACATGATATTATAATTATGAAACGTTGTTTTATTTGAAGTTATAGTTCGTATTTCATTCTTTCTTTCTCCCCCCTCTCTCTTTCTTTCTCTCTCCCTCTCTCTCTCTCTACCCCTCTCTCTCTCTTCTTCCCTTCTCTCTCTCTCTCTCTTTCTCTCTCTCTCTCTCTCTCTCTCTCTCTCTCTCTCTCTCTCTCTGTCTCTATATCGTTCTCTCTCTCTTATAATATGATACTGTATAACTGGGATGATTACGTAAACTCTGAGTCAACATGCCCAAAAAACCAGAAACCAATAATGTTAATAAGTATAATAATAAAAACGACTATAATGATAATAACAGTAACAACGAAAACAGTAATAATAATAGTCATATAATAATATTGTTGATAATAATGATAATAATAATATTAGTATAATAAATAATAATAATAACGATGGTGAAGATAATAATGTAATAGTAATGATAAAAGCATTACCAATAATAGGTAAGAAGAAGAAGAACTAGAAGAAGGATAAGAAGAAGAAGAAAAAGAAGAAGAAGAAGAAGAAGAAGAAGAAGAAGAAGAAGAAGAAGAAGAAGAAGAAGAAGAAGAAGAAGAAGAAGAAGAAGAAGAAGAAGAAGAAGAAGAAGAAGAAGAAGAAGAAGAAGAAGAAGAAGAAGAAGGAGAAGAAGAAGAAGAAGAACAGGAACAAGAAGAAGAAGAAAAAGAAGAAGATGAAGAAGAAAGAAGAAGAAAGAAGAAGAAGAAGAAGGACGAAGAAGGAAGAAGGACGAAGAAGGAGGAGTAAGCAGAAGGATAAAGAAGGAAGAAGAAGGATGACGATGAAGAAAGAAGTAATAGCAAGATGAAACAGAAGGAGAAGCAAGTAAGAAGGAGGAGCGATGGATGTACGACCATCGATGGGAGGAGAATCCGGAACGACGTACTACGAGTCACCTAGCATAGAACGGAGGAACAAATTACGAACAAAATAGCAATAAAAATGCTTGCTGGCCAGGGGGGCGGGGCAACGA